AGGTCCCAGGTTCGATTCCGGTCAAGGGCATGTACCTGGGTTACGGGCACATCCCCAGTAGGAGATGTGCAGGAGGCAGCTGATCGATGTTTCTCTCTCATTGATGTTTCTAACTCTCTATCTCTCTCCCTTCCTCTCTGTAAAAAAAACAATAAAATATATTTAAAAAAAAAAAAAAGAACTCAGACAGAATCCTAGTCAGACAATAAACAAGTGAATGAATAAATAAACAAGCTAAATACAAATTGCAAAGAGAGCTATCATACTGAGAGAGGAGGCTTACTTTAGATGTGGTAATTGGCAGGGAAGGCTTTTTTGAGGTGACAGTCAAGGTGACATAGAAAAATAGAGATGCCATAATGGCAGAAGGCTGAATAAGTAGCAAGTTCAAGTAGACCAAGGCAAAAAGCATGCAAAATAACTTGATAAATCCTAAAACCAGACAGGGCTCCCTGTCGATAGGATTAGGGAATTTAAGAGGAAAGATGCTAAAGCAGAGAGAGGTCAGATTGAGTCAGGTCATGTAGATCTTGCTAAGGTGTTTGGATTTTATTCTAAGATAAATGGAAGTCACTTTAAATATGGAAGGAAAAGGACAACTGAATTGTTGTTTTTAATTTTTTATGAATTATGTTTTTCTTAAAAGGTCACTCTAGCTGCCATATGGAAAATAGATTAGAGTGGACCGAGAAAGAGAGCAAGGAGACAAGTTAAATAGTAGTTGCAGTAATTTAGGTAAGAGATGGAGGTAAAAAAAAATATTAGATTTGCAGTGACAGAGATGGAGAGAAGTAAATGGAATCGAGATATACTTTGGAGGTAGTACTAATGTTTGGAGTTTATGAAGAGGATGAATCCTTGCTATTTTAATAACGAGGTGATGCTATTTACTATGCTGGGGAAAATTAGGGAAAGGAAGAGATTAGCTTAATAAAATAGAGAGCCCCAGTTTGGATATATTAATTGACATGCCAGCTAAAACTCCCAAGTGGAAATGTCTAATAAATAGTTGGATATGAGTTGGGAGTTCAAAGGAGAGATCTACGCTATCATGGAAATATACATTTGAAGATTATTAAATTTAGGTGGTATTTGAAGTCTTGAAAAGGGTCCATAAATGAGCTCTGAGAAATCCCAAAAGTTTGAGGTCTAAGAGGAAGGAGTCAGAGAAGAAGACAGATTTCTGATGCAGGAGGAAAGTTATGAGAATGTGGTTTCACAGAGGCAAGCAAGAAAAGTGTTTCATGAAAGAAAGTGCCATCTTTATTGAATGTTACTAACAGGTAAGAAAAGATGAGCACAGAGAAGTGTTTGTTGGATTGGCAATATGTAAATCATTGGTATCCTTGGCTAGTTTAAAAACAGGTTAAGCAGATTTGGGGTGGAAATGGAGACTTCTAGTGTAAATGACTTGTTTTAGTTTTGTTGTAAAGAGGAGTGAATAAATGAAATAATAGGGTAAAGGGAAAGTTTTGTTTATTTTTAAGATTATAATGATCCAGTAGAAGTCATTGATGATCCAAGGAAAAGTCCTAGAAAAGGCATGTCTGTCTCTCCCCCTCCCTTTCACTCTCTCTAAAAATCAATGGACCCTAGAACTGGAGGAGAGGTGCCCTTTGAAAGGAGCAAAGACACATATTTCATGATATCAGGAAGATGGAAAAGAAGATGGGTATTGAGGGGAACCAAAGAATTGCCACCTCAAAATGTGTCTTTTGGAATATTAATTTTAAGCTGGTTATTAAGAAATTAAAGACTCGCCGAACCGGTTTGGCTCAGTGGATAGAGCTTCGGCCTGCGGACTCAAGGGTCCCAGGTTCGATTCCGGTCAAGGGCACGTACCTTGATTGCAGGCACATCCCCAGTGGGGGGTGTGCAGAAGGCAGCTGATCGATCTCTCTCATCGATGTTTCTTTTTTTTCTTTTTCTTTTTTTAATAAATATTTTATTGATTTTTTACAGAGAGGAAGGGAGAGAGATAGAGAGTTAGAAACATCGATGAGAGAGAAACATCGATCAGCTGCCTCCTGCACATCTCCTACTGGGGATGCGCTCGCAACCCAGGTACATGCCCCTGACCGGAATCGAACCTGGGACCCCTCAGTCCGCAGGCCGACGCTCTATCCACTGAGTCAAACCGGTTTAGGCAATGTTTCTAACTCTCTGTCCCTCTCCCTTCTTCTCTGTAAAAAATCAATAAAATATATTTAAAAAAAAAAGAAATGAAAGACTCAGAATGAATCTTTGCTCCTCCCCCTTTCTGCCTAAAGGAATTAAAATAGAAAAACCTGTTTAAAGAACCTTAGCATCATAATACAAACTAAACCCTAGCTGGTTTTGCTCAATGGATGGAGTGTAGGCCCTGGGACAGATTGATTCCCTGGTCAAAGGCACTACCTCGATTGCAGGCTCCATCCTGGCCCCAGTTTAGGTGCTTGCAGGAAGCAACCAATTAATATGTCTTGCTCTCTCGTCTCTCTCTCCCCCTCCCTTCCACTATCTCTAAAAATCATGGAAAAAATATCCTCAGATAAGGATTAACAAAAATAATAACAATAATAGTAATCCAAATGTGGCTGACAAGGAGAAATCTAGTAATGCCTGTTTGTTGCATTTCCTTTGTGTCCCATTGTTTCTGGGTGGCCCAACAAGAATTTTACATGTTTGATCTTTTTATATGAATTGCCTACTTTTTCTTTGAAATCCCAGACCCCTGCCCCCTTCTCCTTTATCCAAAATAGCACATAAACCTCAACTGCCTAATGCATCTTTGGGTCTTATATCTTATGGCACCCCAAAATATACACCAGTAATAAATTTTGGATCTTTTCTTCTGTTATTCTGTCTCATGCTAATTGGATTATTAGCCCAGCTAGAAGAATTTAGAAGGTGGGAGAAAAGTTATTTTTTTGTGCCCCACAGTACAAATCAAGTTGGCTCATGGTTTTCCAGTTGAATGACAATGTTCCTCCCTGATGATTTTTATTTTCTCAAATATGAAAAGGCATTGGTTATATATATGGTGAAGTGATAGAAGAAGTGTAGGAGTTTGAACAGAGAAGGCATGAAATACACTATCTCTGGAAGTGGGAAAGTGAACTTACTAGGGGAATTCAGTAAGAGTGCCAGGGAGAGTCTAATGTCCTCTTTAGACTTGTGGTCACAACTTTAAAGTGAAAGCCGCAGCCTTTGTTAAGGAAGGTAAATTGTTGGGTCCAACTAGAATGGGGTTTTACCAGGTGAGTATAATGGAGGAGGAAAACAAAAGTTGTTTGTGTTTGTAGGCAATCTTTTTTTAAAAATATATATTTTATTGCTTTTTTACAGAGAGAAAGGAAGAGAGATAGTTAGAAACATTGATGAGAGAGAAACATGGATCAGCTGCCGACTGCACACCTCCTACTGGGGATGTGCCCACAACCAACATACATGCCCTTGAGGAGAATCGAACCTGGGACCTTTCAGTCCGCAGGCCGAGGCTCTATCCACTGAGCCAAACCAGTTAGGGCTGTAGGCAATCTTAACTTCTAAACTGTGCAACACAAGTTATGAACAGGAGAATGTGAGAGCCCTGGACGGTGTGGCTCAGTTGGTTGGCGTGTCCTCCCACGCACCAGGAGGTTGCAGGTTTGATCCCGGTTGGAGCAGGAGACAACCCGTCAATGTTTTGCTTCGATCTCTCTCTCTCTTTCTCAAATCAATAATAATAATAATAATAATAAAAAGTTAAAAATGTGAGAGTGAAAAAGTAATACATTTAATGGTCTGGAGCTTTTGATGAAGTCAAAGGATCAGTTATTATGATCAGACAGTAGAGATTCTTTTTTAAAAAATATATTTTATTGATTTCTCTACAGAGAGGAAGGGAAAGGGATAGAGAGTTAGAAACATCGATCAGCTGCCTCCTGCACACCCCCCACTGGGGCTATGCCCGCAACCTAGGTACATGCCCCCGACAGGAATCGAACCTGGGACCCCTGAGTCCGCAGGCCGACGCTCTATCCACTGAGCCAAACCGGCCAGGGCGAGACAGTAGAGATTCTTGAAATAGAAATTTAAAGATGGAATACTTACTGGCAACAACAAACACAATGGTGACCTTTAGAGCAGTTGTGGGGTTGGAGCGGCTGATAAAGGATGGAAGGAAAGGTTGTTGGAGGTGAGGAGATAAAGAATTGACAGAGTATTGGGTGGTCATCCACATAGACGTTGGATGATGAACAGAAAGGTGGAAAGGAAGACAATAAGCCATGAGCTAAAGAGCTAAATTTTGTGTGTGTGTGTGTGTGTGTGTGCGCACCGTTCCCGGAAGTACTGCAATACCGGGTCAATTTGTGGAGTGGACGGAGCAAGCTCCTATTCCATCTCCCTGCTCCAAAAATCCATTTAATATGTTGTCCTCGGATAGAGGACGTATCAGATATTAAACTGACAAGAACAGATACTACACTTGATCTTAGCCAAAAGGCCGGTAAGCGATAAGAGCGAATACTGAGGGAGGAATGACCCACCAAAAGCTCCGTAGATGACAGTAAGATCGCGTGCGAAATCGGTAAGATTTTTCTTATTTCACTGGCCCAACACAAGGTAGAGTAGATTGCAGGCACTTAATTTATGCCTTTGAACCAGAGAACGTTCTTTCAGGGAAAGGATAACAATAGACCGCTTCCGGGGCAATCGAGAAAGAAAAGGGCCCTTATCTTTCCCCTGGAGCTGATAGAGCCCTTACTATTTGCTTTCCTGAGAAAATTGGTCTGGCGAACCCATTCAAATTTCTCCCAGCAAATCACAGTGGCCAACAGCCAACTCCTTTTCCGCTCATTGGCCAGTTGGAAACTTCAGCTACGCACTCCTCCCGCCTCTCACCAAGAAGCCAATAGAAGAGACTAGCACTCGGTAAAATAGTGTCATCAAATACGGCACTTGCAATTGGCTAGCGGAGCTACCGATCAAGGAGTGGGCGGGGCCCTCTCAGCCTGCCTATATAAGACGAGGACAAAGGCGGCACGCAGCCTGTGTCATCCGCCATTTTGTGCGAAGCAAGGTGGCATCCACATTCCCTGAGCGACTTCTCCGCTTCTGCCTCGACCGCCCCTTGACCACAGACATGTCTCGAGATCGGTTCCGGAGTCGCGGCGGTGGCGGTGGCGGCTTCCACCGGCGCGGAGGAGGCGGCGGCCGCGGCGGCCTTCACGACTTCCGCTCGCCGCCGCCCGGCATGGGCCTCAATCAGAACCGCGGACCCCTGGGTCCCGGCCCGGTCCAGGGCGGCCCCAAACCCCCGATCCCGCCGCCGCCTCCACACCAACAGCAGCAGCAGCAGCCGCCGCCGCAGCAGCCGCCCCCACAGCAGCCGCCGCCGCTTCAGCCGCCACATCAGCAGCCGCCGCCGCTTCAGCAGCCGCCTGCACATCAGCAGCCGCCGCCGCCACAGGACTCAGCCAAGCCCGTGGTTCCTCCGGGACCCGGCCCGGCTCCCGGGGTAGGCACCGCCCCGCCGGCCTCGGGCCCGGCGCCGCCCGCCACTCCCCCGACTTCTGGGGCCAGCACGGGGCCAGGCCCTATCCCGACCCCGCCGCCCGCTGTCACCTCGGCGCCCTCCGGGGCGCCCCCGCCGGCGCCTCCGAGCAGCGTGGTCTCCACCCCGCCACCTCAGGCTGGGGGCCCGCCGCCTCCACCCGCCGGGGGCCCGGTGCCCGGGCCTAAGCCGGGCCCAGGACCCGGCGGCCCCAAAGGCGGTAAAATGCCGGGCGGGCCGAAGCCGGGTGGGGGCCCGGGCCTCAGCACTCCAGGCGGCCATCCGAAGCCGCCACACCGAGGAGGCGTCGAGCCCCGCGGAGGACGGCAGCACCACCCGCCCTACCACCAGCAGCACCACCAGGGTCCCCCTCCCGGAGGGCCCGGCGGCCGCACCGAGGAGAAGATCTCCGACTCGGAGGTGAGTGTCTCCGGAGCTACGCGTCCGTTCGCCTAAGATGGCCGCTACCCCCTCTTCGCCCCCCTTCCTTCCCTCCCCCCACCCCCGCCGGCCTCCATTTTGTCGGAGGCCGGAAGGGCGCCTGCGCGCTGCCGGCGGGGGCGGGGCTCTCCGGCGACCGCGGGGTGGGCCGCGTGGTCCTACCGCCCGGCGGCCAGAGCTCGCGGGAGGGGGCCGGCGAGGCGAGGAGCCGCCGGGACGGGATGGGCGGGCCCGGCTACAGCCAGGAGGTCCTGGGAGCCGGAGTAGAGCGGACCGTGAGATGCAGGCGCGCAGAGGTCGTGTCGCTGCTGACGGGATTTTGCTCTTTTTCTTTTTTCATTTACTATTTGACCATTTGAATTTATGTCCGCTACAGTTTTAGCCAGGGACGCTCAGCATATGGAAAGGACGAGGTTGTGGATACAGATGTGGGACGATGAACAGATATAGAGGTGGAGAGGGAGACAGTAAGCCGTGAGCTAATATTGAGGAAGGAATGACCCACCGAAAGGACCTATGTAGCGAGGGCCAAGTGCCCGTTCTCGAGTATTTTGAATGAATCTGGCTGTTTGGTTTAGGATAGCGGTGACATTGGAAATCCCACGAGTATAGTAGGACCTTGCTTTGACTTTAAACGAAAACAGAAGAACCACCCCTTTGGTAAAATCCAGTTTGGTAAAAGCAAAAATTAGCGCGTTTCCGCTGCAGGCACAGGTCAATGGTGTCTGAAAAATTCCCTTTCTTTTCCACTAGGGCTTTAAAGCCAACTTGTCTCTCCTGCGAAGACCCGGGGAGAAAACTTACACTCAGCGTTGTCGGCTGTTTGTTGGGAACCTACCTGCTGATATTACAGAGGAGGAATTCAAAAGACTGTTTGCTAAATATGGAGAACCAGGAGAAGTTTTTATCAACAAAGGCAAAGGATTCGGATTTATTAAGCTCGTGAGTTTGTTGGGTTTTTATGTATAATTAATTATAGGGTCCTCTTTTTTTTTTTGCTACTACAAATGTACTGGTTTTCAAACGAACATGAATCAATTGGTCTTTAAATTTTTTGTCATTCTTGCCGTGGCCGGGTTGCTCCATTGGTTGGAGCGTGATACCAAAAGGTTGTGGGTTCAATCCTAGAGGGGGTGGCATACACAGACAACTGATTGATGCTTCTTTCACATCAGTGTTTTATGCTCTCTTTAACTCTCAAACACACACACACACTCACACACACAAAAAAAAACCCATATCTACAGGTGAGGATGAAAGGATAACAATGTTTTCATCATTCTTGCAGAAAAGATGAAATGTTGTATAGTGTATAATTGTTGGTATCTAAGAATCAAGGGGAGTGGGTGGGGCAAGGCATTTTAACTACTGAGAACCCTGTCAGGGGGGGAGCTGGAGGAAAAATAGGAATGGGGATTAGGCTTATGACTTTCAGAGTAGGCATTAGGCAATTTTTTAGGTCGTTAACATGAGTATGTCTGATAACTTTCAGGAGTCCAGGGCATTGGCTGAAATTGCCAAAGCTGAACTTGATGATACACCCATGAGAGGTAGACAGCTTCGGGTTCGCTTTGCCACACATGCTGCTGCCCTTTCTGTTAGAAATCTTTCACCTTATGTTTCCAATGAACTGTTGGAAGAAGCCTTTAGCCAGTTTGGTCCTATTGAAAGGGCTGTTGTAATTGTGGATGATCGTGGAAGATCTACAGGGAAAGGCATTGTTGAATTTGCTTCTAAACCAGCAGCAAGAAAAGCATTTGAAAGATGCAGTGAAGGCGTTTTCTTACTGACAACGTAAGTTCTTGTGCCTATTTTAATAATTTTTGTTTATTAACTTGTATGAGGAAGTTGTGATATGACTGGAAAATAAGATGCAGCCTTCTTTTGTATTAGAACTCCTCGTCCAGTCATTGTGGAACCACTTGAACAATTGGATGATGAAGATGGGCTTCCTGAAAAACTTGCACAGAAGAATCCAATGTATCAAAAGTAAGATGGATTAAACTTATGGTAGTTTTTTAAGTTTAAGGGAGAACTTGTTCTAGTAATTTTTCAGTTTTGTTTAAAATGTGCAAAATTCTCCTAAATGAATATGCTTAATAAAAGCATTGGGCTCAGAAAGTTTGAGGTTTTGAAACAGTTATTCAAATGCCTAGTTTTTGTTTCTGAAGTATGTATATTTCACAATTTATTCTTGTTCTTACAATATGAACCAAAGTGGTCTTTGCCCCTCGATGTTCCTTACAAGTGATAGGGCAGGGGGAGAGACCAGTGGTTTTAGGGGAGTCAGGTAGTGTTTCTTAATGTGCATCCCAAATTGATTCATCTTTAAATACTGTCAGGGAGAGAGAAACCCCTCCTCGTTTTGCCCAGCATGGCACATTTGAGTATGAATATTCTCAGCGATGGAAGTCCTTGGATGAAATGGAGAAACAGCAAAGGGAACAAGTTGAAAAAAACATGAAAGATGCAAAAGACAAACTGGAAAGTGAAATGGAAGATGCCTATCATGAACATCAGGCAAATCTCTTGCGTCAAGGTAAAAAACTCTGAAGTTTGCTGATGGGATCAATTATCTTTTTTTAAAAAACTTACTGTAATCTCATTAATGTGAATCCAAAACAAAATTTTCCAATGTTCAGATCTGATGCGACGCCAGGAAGAATTAAGACGCATGGAAGAACTTCACAATCAAGAAATGCAGAAACGTAAAGAAATGCAATTAAGGTAAAATTTTGTTAAACTAAGCCTTTTGTTTTTAAAAAATGTTTTTATTGATTTTAGAGAGGGGGAAGGGAAGGGAGACGTTGCTCAACCAACTGATCCACACCGTCCAGGGCCTTTGCTTCTGCATTAACTCTTAGACAAAAGGAAAACCTAAATTTTGCAGTGTAGTCCAATGAAATAGAGTCAGCGTTGGTAAAACATTTAAATTGAAATTGTGTGTACAGTTGTCAGTAAGTACTGTAATACTTATTTTCTTAGCCAGAATGCCCCTAGGGCTATTCTACACTCACTCTCCTGGTCTTTTGTGTGTTTGCCCCAACCTAGTCTTTGTAAAGCTATGAGGCAAACTATTCTCTCTGTTGCTCTATTTTTTTTTTTTTTCAAATTGAGTTTGAAAAGATGTGGATAACACTTTTATTTATATACTTAATGAACATTTCCAGACAAGAAGAGGAACGACGTAGAAGGGAAGAAGAGATGATGATTCGTCAACGTGAGATGGAAGAACAAATGAGACGACAAAGAGAGGAAAGTTATAGCCGAATGGGCTATATGGATCCAGTAAGTAAATTTCTGTTGTAATCTAATTAGAGTAAAATAACATATCATATCCACTTATTTTAAACATGTATTATGATGATATGCCTTTTATCATTTTTTTTTGGTAGGCCAAAGATTCTTTGGGAAGAAGCTTTTAGGTTTTTGAAAATTAAGTCAACGGGTAAATTTTAAAAAATTTTTTCAGAGTCTAGTTTTTTAAATTGCCTTAAATGAACCTTTTTTATTGGTTAGAATCTTTAAGTTTGGGGATTTTTTGTACTTTCAAAAATGGTATGGGTATAGTACAGATACATGAAAGTTTTTTTTTCTTTTAGAGAGAAAGAGACATGAGAATGGGTGGTGGAGGAGCAATGAACATGGGAGGTAAGCATGAAAATAAATTAGCAGTGCCATTAGAGAGCAATATTCTGGTTTAGTTATAACAGGCATTTTTGTTTCCTCTAGATCCCTATGGTTCAGGAGGCCAGAAATTTCCACCATTAGGTGGTGCTGGTGGCATAGGTTATGAAGCTAATCCTGGAGTTCCACCAGCAACCATGACTGGTTCCATGATGGGAAGCGACATGGTAATGTATCCTGTGGGACGTAGTACAAAGGAAATTCTCATTTTCACAACTTGTGTGTGTGTTTTATTTTGTTGTGTTTTTTTTTTTAAAGTAGGTGACTGGACTTCTTTTAGTTTCCCTATCATGTAAATCGTAATATTGAGGGATACTTTGGCAACATAGAAGAACTCAGTGTGTGGTAACCTAAACAGATACGGTTGCCAACGCGAAGTCAGTGCTGTTAGTATGTTGGAGTTATCTTTGGCAATAAGTAGAATTAGGTGCTTTCCATTATATTGCTTGTGTACTTTTGCACTCCATCGCATGGCAAATCCAAATTCTAAACTTTAGAGAATGTACCTAATTATTCTACATCTAAGTGAGCGTAATCAAATGGCAAACTGTTGTTCACTCAGCTGGCATTTGCCATAACTATATGAATTAGACTTGTAGTTTGCAGCTCCTAGGCATGTTTTAGTGATGTGTAGAACTCTGACCTATATTTGGTGTGGCTTCTATCCATGAAAAGGGAATTGTTTAAAGTTTTGACTCGTCGTTTCCCACCTGTTGGGCTGTCTGTAGGTACACCTTCTAAAATAAACTGACATCTGTTTTGCTACAGAGTAGCAACAAAACCAACGATAATTTTAAGCATACTAGTTGTGTGCATTTGATCTGAACCTTCTTGATGCTATCATATTTTAACTGCAGATAGCCTATCCGGATGCTTTAGAACAAGCATGTGAATTGGTCTGAGTGGCTGTGTTTAGGGCTTTACAAATCCTTAGGAGAATTGAATATTGACTTTAGAAATGGGTTTAAGGAAGAATACATTTTCACAACTGAATTAAGTCTGATTAGTTCACCTACAGGATTTTGGCAAAGGAAGGAAGCTGCAGCATGTAACTCACTAATTTCACTTTACAAATAAGGAACATAAGAATTTAGTATGGGAACTCACCTATTTTAAAATCCATTTATGGCTTTTGGGGAATTAGAACCGTAAATGACTGGTTACATTAAATGTAGTGCTATAAGCTTTCTTCAAATAAAATTTTAAAAATAGTGTGGGTAACATTTTCACTTAGGTGCTTCCTAAAAGGCATATTGTAGGTATGTAAACAAATCTGTTAAAAATGTAACTTCACATGATGTTCCCACAGTTAAAATTCTATATTCCATATAACAGGTTTAAAAAAACCTGTGGGTTTAAGATGTAATGATATAATTGTGAAATCCCCAAATTTTCCTTAATAACCTTCATGAAATATATAGTACAGTGTGCTAAAACCCTAAAATTTTTAGGTTTTTGAAAAATACTTTAAAGGATTGAGATTTAGTCTTTTTTTTAATATGTTTTAATTGATTTCAGAGAGGGAGAGAGATAACAGTAGAAACATCAATGATGAGAGAATCATCAATCAGCTGCCTCCTGCACGCAAACCCGGGCATGTGCCCTTGACCAGAATTGAACCTGGGACCCTTCTGTCCGTAGGCTGATGCTCTATCCACTGAGCCAAACCAGCCAGGGCGAGATTTAGTCTTTTCAAGTAGCCCTATAGTATTTTGTAAGAGACATGTTGAAATTACAACATATAGGAACAGTTAAACCCTAATGCCATTTTTGTATTTTGTTTAAATTTTTTTGGGGGGGGGGGTGGTAATACTTAGTAACATCTATTTTAAATGGAATTTGAAAGATAGTTCAGGCTGCTGTGCTTCCATATCTCTAGGGTTTTTCTTTTTGGATACATAGCTTTCTAAGACTGAGAAGTACCTGAAACTAGATGGAATAATAAACTCCTGCTTTATTGCAGTTACTTAAGCATGGTGCTAGGCTGCTTGGGAGATATCCAGACCATGGAATCATAGCTAAGTGCCAGTGGACTTTTCAAAGACCTAAGGGAAAAGTTGGACTGTTAATGGGGGTGGGCTGTATATCCAATTTGCAATAATACAGAATAGTGCTGTAAACATAAGTGTCTCTTGTCATATAGTGATGGCTCCTAAAGGTGGTACACCTGTGAGAATATGGCAACACTTTTTTTTTTAATCAAGTTACTGTGCCGGTAAAATGACTAAATCTATTAGTCTTTTATGCTTTTTTTTTTTGTAGTCTGGTAGCATTTTATTAAAACTTTGAACCTTTTAAGATTTCTGCAACTTAGCAGATGTGTCTTGAGATCTTGAAAAGCACAAGGTTTCTTATGCAGCACATGCCACTAACTGGTGAGTAGGTCCTTTGTCACTTCTTTGAGTGAATTGAATCTGTCTGGTTGGGCTTGCTAGGCTTACTTGGAAATTAATTTTCCTGTTCAGACCTTGAAAGTGAGAAGTTTGCAAGCTTTTCAGTGGTTTATTCTGATGTGAAATTTCTTTAACTCATTTTGGAATGGGTTTTCACATCTACACTAATTCTTAAATTTTTTAGCACTACAGGGAAGATCTATTCTTTGAAACAGGTGTATGAGAATGGCTCAAGTGGGAACATACCACAAGGCATGTATTATCGTAAACTAATTTTCAAATTACCCTTTTTTCCTTTCTATGTTCCCGGTACCTGTGGATCGACTCATTGGTGATTGTATCGACGAACGTTGACTACGGAACCTTCTAAAATATTTACTTAACACACATGGACATCAACTACATATAATGAACTGTTAATTACTGTTCCAATAGCGTACTGAGCGCTTTGGGCAGGGAGGCGCGGGACCTGTGGGTGGACAGGGTCCTAGAGGAATGGGGCCTGGAACTCCAGCAGGATATGGTAGAGGGAGAGAAGAGTATGAAGGCCCAAACAAAAAGCCCCGATTTTAGATGTGATATGTAGGCTCTCATTCTAGTTTGTTTTTGTCTTTTCTTGTTTAGATACCAATCTTTTAAATTCTTGCATTTTAGTAAGAAAGCTACCTTTTTATGGATGTTAGCAGTTTATTGACCTAATATTTGTAAATGGTCTGTTTGGGCAGGTAAAATTATGTAATACAGTGTTTTGAAACAGGATTTTTTCCTTTTTATTTTCCTTTTTTTTAACTGTATAATGTCCCACAAGTTATGGCAGTGTACTTTGTGCCATCGAATTTCCAAAGTGTACTTTTTTTTTTTTTTTTTTTTTTTTTTTTACTGTGCTTCAAATAAATAGATAAAATAGTTAAAATATTGATCTTCAATTTTGCCATTCATGCTTCCATGCACATTAGGCTAGGTATTCCACTTTGAAAGCATGAGAGTGTTGAGACCTTCAAATGGCATGTGCCATTTCTGGGAAATGTATTTGTAGGCTAAGTATTGCTTTTTACAAATAAGTACCCCTTTGTTTTAAAAAGAAGAAATACATACTGAAGTAGATTCGTGATTTGATTTGTTTGGCATTATAGGAAGCAAGCGGTGCTAAGTACTTTTAAATGGTTATATAAGTAAAACAACTGTAAATCTTCATTCAGGAATATGTATTAAGATTATGGAATTGGGTGTATGACTATTGGTAGGGGGAGAAAGTGGGCATGACTAAATGGATCTTTTATGGCCCTATGAGTTATCCTTTTCTTGAAAGCTTCTGGAGAAAAAGTGGAAAGATCATTTTGTTGCATTCCTCCGTTCTTGTTTTTAAAAGAATAAGTCCCAAGCCCTACAACTGGCTTGTATTGAACTTTCACATTTGAATTAAAGATTATTAAACATGAAGTCTTTTCATGTATTACTTTAAGCGATTTATAAAGATGGGGTTTAGTCTGAAAATTTCAACTTGAAAGTAAGAAGTATAGTAACCATAAACGAGGTGTAGTTATATATACATTTGTACTCTGAACCTTTTATATCTCCTTTTGTTACTTCATTGGGCAAAAACTATAGGACCATAAATCTACTTGCTCTCTTTTCAAAGAATTAGTGGTGACTGTTGACATGTAGGGTTGCAGATAGGCATTCATTCTTAATTGTAAAATATTTGTTAATCTGTTTTTCCATAGTTCCCTTTTGATGCAGCACTAAATCTGGAGAGAGTTGCTTATGCTACACAGTGCAAATATAAATGTCCCTCCCACCATAAAGCTTTGGAGTGTTTCGATGGTGTTGTCAGTTTATTGTCAACTTCATTGAATCTCCTTCCATTAGAATGAGGTATTTTGACTTAATATTAAAGCACATTGTTACTGTTGTCTGTTAGTACAACAGTGGGAATCTGTTTTCCCAGTGTATCTATGTTAGCAGAGGGAACAGCTTCCTAAAAGTAGGTAAAATAATTCAATGGCTTGGCTTTGTTCTTAGTTATGGTTCCATTCAAATTTGTACATTGTAGAACTCTTTACTATGGAATGTGTCTTCCTCCTTTTCACCTCTGTTCTTGGTGCTAATTGGCAAAAGTAAAATTTTAACAAATGCTGAAGTTTAGTATTGTGCCTGAGTACAAAGGGAAACCTATTGTTGAAATAATTGAGCACCTTCTGCCTGGGAAACTGGATAATACTAAAAGTAAAACACTAGTGGAGTATAAAGGCATGTCACCCAATTCTGGTTGTGTGACTGACAGGTACATGATGTGTTAATTAAGGAAACCTCATTAGAAAATGTTCATTATTTCTATTCACCAAGACACCTGGAAATGGGTGGTAGTTCTACCATAATTATATTAATGAGGAAGTTTTGTCCCCAGTTAAGGTATGAATTGGTGCTATATATGAGATTTTTCTGTACGGAAACAAGGATCTTGATTTGAAAGAAGTCCATTATAATTTGATTGGATTGTGTAGTAGGGACTCAACTAATGATAAAATAAGGGGTGTTCATGGGACACCCGTGGAGGGTGAACTTGTATGTGTGTGGGCGGGGGCTGGTGGGGAAATGGGATAATCTGCCTATAAAATTAATGTTTCAGTTTATTTTTCAGATTACATGCCTTTCTTTATAAGGGATGCTGGCACAGACCCCTAAAATAAGCTTTTGGTAGTACTGTACCTTTGAAGAGTGGTGAAGGATGCTCATGGATAATCTGCTGAAAGTTGTGGTTTTGATAGCCTTACTGAGGGCTGTAGAATTGCTAAATGTTGTTTAGCAAATAATCTTGCTCAGTTTCAACTAAGTTTTTTTACTTTTATCACTGAAATAGCAGTGTACCAAGGGTTGTAAGGTACTCAAATAGACTTTCTGTAAGTCTTGTATATGATAGTTTTTAGCCTAATGGGAATTTAAGTCATCTTAAAAAAAAAGTTGCCTAAAAGCTGATGTGAAACTTGGGATGGGAGAGGGAAGGTAGTAGTTTCAAAGTATTTAGCCATTTTTCTCATTTGAAGAAATCACCTGCCCCCATTTTCCCCTTCTCCATTCTCATAATTTTGTTTTTAAGAGGAACACTGATCATTTTAAAACTTAGTAGTCCAAATCGTTAACCGCATTCTCTAAGAGACCCCTGTATATTTTAATAGGTATCTCAAGCTTTTAACCCATTGGCTCACATTTAGTGAAATCACAATCCTTCTTTGTTTAGAACACTAATTGAACTCATTAACAAGTTCTATAAACCCTACCACTCTTTATGTAGATATACCACTATTATAAACATTATAATTTGGGAAATTGTAATGTTACGCCTGTGCAATTTTTATAAGTGGCATATTATGGCAGATAAAACTTAGATACTTGGCTTTTCTTGGGCAAGCCACTAAGTTTTGGTAGAATGTTTTCTGGTGTTCTTGGACTGCAATTATGCACTATTAAAGTAGTGGCCTGCTACATAACTGCATTTAGCCAGCATTTCTGCAGTGCGTAACTGTGAGGAACGTAGTACCGCAAATGGCAATGGACATTAGGACCCGGATGTAGTATTCCTGCTTGCTCCAAGATTCTCATTGCCGACTGCATACAGGTAGGTAACAAGCAATATAATCTAACTTGGTGACTTGCTATGTACTTTTATTCCGTGGGCATTCTGACATCACACTTCTGACAATGAAATAACAGTGCAGCACCTAACACTTGTATGGTAAAGCTAGCTTATCAAAAGTGCGTGGGTTTGGGCTTAGAGCTGTAATTTGTCAGGCAGAATTCAGTGCTGTTGCAGTTCTCAGATAAAAAGTGCAAACTTGATTCCTTGGTATATCTGATTTAGTTGTGTGGTTTCCTTTAGTTGCATTGTAACTGAAGATAACACGGAACATATCAGTGGTGTGGGGGAAAGGGAACCAAACCATACTTGGGAGGTAGAGTGCTTTTTTAGCCTCTTGATATGGACTGTATAGCATGTGATAATTAGTCTCTGTTGTAGCAACTGACCTGCCCATAGGTCAGCAATATCAATAATTCAGAATGCAATCTTGGTAATTATTCTGCAGGATGAGTGAATTAACACTATAAGTACAGGGTGGTGTTTTTTTTTTGTAATGTGATTTAATAAATTTTTTCAAATGAGCTCCATGGAAACATCTTTACTAACTTGGGCTTAGATGGGAATCTAATGTGAATAGTTCAAATTACATGATTTTACTAAGTATGTCTATATTCTAAACCTGGGGAAAATTGGTGTGGCACATTGACTTGCCTACAGTTGGATACATGGTGGGAATCATTTCCCAATCATAAGACTTCGTCGTATTCTGTAGGATAACTGCAAATATTCAGAGTAGGTTTTTGAATTTGGTTACCTTAGCTTTAGGTATATGATGTTATAATTCAAGATTTTAATTACCAAAAAAAGGTCTTAACCACCTTATTTTGTTGCTTAGTACTTAAGCTTTGCATCGACTATTATTCCAGACCTCAACTGAACTTTGTTCTCTGAACTGGTTTTTAGCTAGTGTGCATGAGAAACATCTTTCATATATAATGCTTTCTGCTCTGTAACTGGAAGGTTTGAGGTTTATTTTGCATAAATGTGTGAAAACTCTTCGTGGATATGAGAATTTTCTTCCATTATATCAAGAAAAATGGCTTGCTCTTTAGCAAGCAATTCACAAGGTGGGGACAAATTTGTACTGTGATGCATAGACCATTCAAGCAAATAACTTCTGACTCTCCTGCTAGATGAAAGAACAAATGGTGATTAGTTTAGCTCTCTACATGAATAATATAATGCAAAGCAAACACAGTGCTTAGGTATTAGTGACAAGAGTGTCTCTAAGTTGGCATATAATCCCGATGGAGTTTTCCTGTGGCATGATCCATTAAATCGGTGGCCAGCACTTGCTGCCGTGATTTTAGGGATTGAGTGTTTAAAAGCTCAGGTTTATTTCTTAACCAATAACAATTTTGAGAGAATGTGCTTGTTGTAATAATGGACTTCAGGAACATCATTGGGGTGGGGGGTTAACTTTGCTTCATTCTTGCTTCTTTTAAGACGAATAGGTCTTTGCACTTTCAAATGAGAAACTTGTGACTTAAGTCGATTCTTATTAGTTTGGATTTGTACATAGCTATAATTTGTAAATCTTAGTGCAGAGGGTCTTAAAAAATCCACTCAGTCAAAAATCTGGGAATAAATGGGTTTCAGTAATAACACTACTGAGGTGCTTGCATTGTATTTCATAAGCCTTGTTACAAATCAAAATTACTCTTTTTAATGAGAATGGTCTGATGTTCAGAGGTGTGATGCCAGAATGCATTTTCGTACTGTTAGGCCCTTGGAACAGATACAGGTGCTTTCTGAAAGATGAAAGAAATGCAATGGGTGCTTTTCACACAAGGTTGCAAAACCTACAAAGACTGTATAATAGTCTCACCCCCAATAGAGATAGATGCGTGTGACTAGTTTTGGACTTTTAACCTTAATGGGGGTTGCATGTCTCCTATTGTTAATCATTGTCAGCTGCAGTGACACGATCCCCAGTCCTGCATTTACTGTCCTTCCCTTAATGATTTGTGGACAGGTTTTAGAGAGCCAGGATGTTTGTTCTGGGCCTTTATTTGGTTTGGGCTTTAGCTGATAATGTTTCAGTGCTCTTGTCAGCGAGTGCAGTTTTCAAATGGCCTATTAGGGAAAGAACTCCGAGGATTTGACTGCTCCTAATAATCATCTGTCATTGCTGCTAGATAATGATTGGCAATTTTTAAGACTCAACTGTGGAAATCTCACAGTTGTTGGTAAACCATCAACCATAAAAATGTTGCTTTTGAACACCAGTGCTGAAAAGATTTTATTCAGAGGTTGAAAAGGGCGGGCTGGTTGCAGCATAGGATAATCTGGAGAATGGGAAGAATGCAAAAGATATAGTATCCCTTATGGATGGTAAATGTGCAACAGGGAACTATCAAATGCCCTTGGCAGTAACTGATAATCAGGGAAGAAGAAAAACCTAGAATTTGAATTAAGGCTGATCTGTCCAGTTTTTGTGCAGTGGCCCTGCAGGTATATATAATGAAGGTGAATGTCTTCTCCCTCAGAAAAAAACAAAACCCTCAGGTTCCTTGCTGTCCCAATAAGGCAAGCTCTTCCCTGCCCTAACTTAAAACTCAGTGAGGACTTAGGGGAAAGAACGAGGCAAATACATAGGATTGCAGGATAACAACTGCATTGTGTACTGTGGAACGGGGAGGGTACTCTTGGAGGACTTCTGCTGAAGGTGGTCAGTCCACCTGAGAATGGAAAACATACTTGAATGGGGAGCAGGGTATGTGCTTTTATGAAAAGAGAACCGATGTTAAAATTCATTTGGTAAGGTAGACGTTGTCACATACCTTCACATAAGGGATAGTATATTTTGGATTGCAGTCAAACTTGTGCTCAGACTGGTGAAAATAAATAGTAGTTAGACTTTTGTATTTTAAAGAAGATACAGTTTTCATTCTGATTCAGGTGTCTATTTTATTTATGTGAGAATAATTTTAGATTCCCCCTTCTACCCCCCATGAAGTTTCTTCCTATTTTTTTATGCTGTAACTTGCCCCCAATCTTGGTCTCTGGAATTTTACTCTTTAAAATTTTGACGTTAACTAGCATTTTCAAACCTTATGCCCTTGTCTTTTATATTAACTTTTTCTTATTATTCTTTAGGTACGAATGATTGATGTTGGCTGATACTGGAGTGCTCATTAGCCTGAAGTAAGTATCCTTAGAACTCTTAACCTTAGCAGTAGAGGTCTTTTGGATTAGATTTAATGGTTAAATTTGATTTAGCCAGATAGGGTTAAACATGTTTGATTTTTAAGATGTTTGTCTCACCTAAGATAATATTTCTCTTTCTGTTTTTGAAAATAGGTATGTATGTGAGAGAGTTGAAAGATGGGGAATATTACCAAAGTGTTAAATAGTATAATTGAGAAGGTACATGGTTATGTAGAGAAAACAATCAAGAGCAGAAAAGAGGGCTTGAATTTAGTGGAGAAATGCTGTTATCTAGTAAATAGTAGAGTAACTACTGTCTATCTAGTCCTTGACAATAGGCAAAATTTCGTATGTACAGGTGAAAGAAATTTAGAGTATGACTGTGGTGTAGACCAGATCTTTTCTAAGCAATAACATAGCTAAATAAAACAACCATTGATTGGAACCCAAACATAAAAAAACACAGTTTATATATTAAGAATGTAATATGCTGAGCATGTTACTTTATTTTAATAAAATTGCATTTTTAATAATAGGTGGATAATTGTTCTCAAGATGTCAAAGCATAAGCCAACCAAGAGAGAAAGCCAAAACTTACAAGACAGAGGAAGTATCAAGGTACCTTAAGCAATCTTACTGTTAACTGCCTTCAGAAAAAAGGACGCTTGGGTGGTACAAAAATAATTGTGTGTGAATATGTCATTTTAATTTCTTCTACATTAAAATTTTCTTAAACAAGTAAATATTTAAGTATTGTAAAAACAGCTTTCTGAGGTTGTAGGCTTTCTTGGTTTGGCTGAAGCCTCAGAAAAATGGACTTCAGTTTTCAATTAAAAAGTGTATATATATGTATAGTATATGTGTATGTATTTACCTAACTCTGCTGTCTAGATAGAAAGCAGTCATAGACAGTGTATAAACAAATGGACATGGCTGTGTCCAATAAAATTATTTTATAAAAAGATGGCTGTGTATAGTAGCTTACTAACTTCTCATAAATTGCATGTATAGATAGATATCACTCAGTTTTAAAAGGCCCTTATAATCAGTATGAAATCTAAACAATCTACATCTTAAATAAGCTTTATATATTAGACGATTAAATACTTTTGATACCACATTCCATTAATATTTCCTTGTTATTAGGAAGTTTACTTGGTTGGTATTAACAAACTTGATAACTGATTTTTACATCTTTGGGAAGTAATTGTTTCCTTTTATTGGCAGGATTCGGTGAACTGTGTCCAGGAAACCAGTGAAGAAGAGGGCAAAGAGGAATGAACAACCTAATTGTTAATAAAGACATCTTAAAAATAAGATTGTCCTTTTATTCTGTTTTTAAGTGGGACTCTTTAATTTTCTAGAATTTTCCTATGTCATCAGCTTGTTTCTAGGTGATGTAAAGAGGTTACATATTCTAGACCAGTAATGGCGAACCTGTGACACACGTGTCAGGTGACACGCGAACTCATTTTTTTTGGTTGATTTTTCTTTGTAAATGGCATTTAAATATATAAAATAAATATCAAAAATATAAATCTTTGTTTTACTATGGTTGCAAATATCAAAAAAATTTCTATATGTGACACGGCACCAGAGTTAAGTTAGGGTTTTTCAAAATGCTGACACGGCGAGCTCAAAAGGTTCGCCATCACTGTTCTAGACATAGAACAGATTATATATAATTCAGGACTGTTTCTTGAGACTTTTTTGGCAGAAGCTCCTTCAACCTTTTAATCAATCAATTAGATGGTACTTATGTCCTAACCAACTTGATTTGGACATCAGGATATTTTACTTTTTAATACTCACCCAAGGACGTGCTGAGAGAGAACATCAATTGGTTGCCCTCTGTGCCCTGACCAGAATTGAACCACAGCCTTTTGGTGGACAGGACAACGCTCCTACAAACTACATATTTTAATTTGTGTGTGTGTGTGTGTGTGTGTGTGTTTGCTTTTTGTTTTGTTTTTAGTGAGAAATGATTTGTTGTGTGTTCCCTGACCCTGGTTCCATCCTGCAACGTTGGTGTACTGGGGTGAGATTAACCACCTATCAGATGTTTTTTTTAGACCATATTTTCAAATCAGGGTTCAAAGTCAACAAAATTGAGAACTCTTCCTAGTTATACCATGTAATTAGAAGATGTGAAAGACAGTTACATGTTTCATAGTATAGACACATGTTAATTTTGGTAAGCTTTTAGACATAAGGAGTCTTCAGGAGAAAATTAGTAATAGATCCTTAGTACTGAAGGGACTGGGAGACCATTTAGCTTTAACAAGTTACTTAACCTTAAGTATTAAATCCCTGCCCTAGCAGCGTTATATTTTGATTAGTAGTTGGTATTTTAAAACTTGGCACAATGTCTGGCATAAGTATGAAAACATGGTGGAGGGAAACCAAGATTAAAGCACAGAACTTTAACATGGTAAAGCCCATAAGATTTTAACACTTGATACATGGGGTCATGTAATGTATTGCACCAAAATGGGTTGAATTCTAAATGCATGAGGTAAGAGGGAATATGGCAATTAAGTGTGGATGACTTGGAAGAAATTGTGAAGATTTGTGGATTGAAAGAATACGGGCAGTATTCTGAACATTTACAGATTCAACATGATCCTAGCTGACTTCATGAAATTGATAAACTGATCCTAAGATTCGTATGGCCTCTACCACACTGAAAAAAGTGGTTCAGATATCCAAATGTAGCAATGAAAACAGGTACTTGGTGGGGATGGGTGGGTACATCATGATCCTGAGTTTGGCAAAGGATTCTTAGTTAAGATAACATTTCTGGAGACTTCTATCAGTAAAGAACAATTAAAACCCCAATTAAAAAATAGGCCAAGGGTTTGAGTGGAAATATTTTAAAAAGATGCTTGACATCAGTCAATAGGGAAATGCAAATCAAACCATAAGATGGCAAATTCAAAAAAAAAGCTATAAAGTGAAAGGTCGGAGGATCTAACGTAACAAGTTAATAGTGCATTATAGAATTGAAACTTGCCAAGAGAATTTGTTCTCAGAAGTGAGGTGGTGGAAGCTTTTGCAATTTATATTTACAGCCATGTGATTTGGTTTCAGCCAATAGGTTACATACACAATGGTCTCATAAGATTAATGGAGCTGGCCCTGACTGCTTTGGCTCAGTGGATAGAGCATCAGCCTGCGGACTGAGGGGTGCTGGGTTTGATTCCAGTCAAGAGCATGTACTTTGGTTGCGGGCACATTCCCAGTAGGGGGTGTGCAGGAGGCAACTGATGGATGTTTCTAACTTTCTATCCCTCTCCCTCTCTGTAAAAAATCAAACTACATTTAATAAAAAAGATTAATGGAGCTGAAAAATTCCTTATTTAGTGACAAAGGTGTGCCACATATTACATCTGGTGATGGTGCTATAAGCAAACCTGTGCTGCAGTTTGTGTAATAGTATAGCACATACAATTAGGTACATTACATAATACTTGGTAAAAGTATTTACTTTTGTTAGAGTGTACTCTTTCTAAAAAAAAAAAAAAAAAAAAAAAGCTTGCTGTCAAATATGCGATGTTATACAAGGAGCAACCTCATCTTGTGTTTACTGCATCTTAAATGCATCCTTTTTTTTCTTGTGCTTGGTTTAATCTCATTTTGTAGTTATATACTGTGTAAGCTTATAGTACTTTGATGTTTGCACAACCATGGAATCACCTAACAACACATTTCTAAGAATGTGTCCCTGTCATTAAACAGCACATGGCTATCAAATCACAATGTACACTTTAAGTATCTTAACAGTTTTGTCAATTAAACTTAAGTAAATCTGGGTAGGGGGAGAAGATATCCCTTCAACACCCACTATCATATCTAGAATAAAGTCAAGTGTTGGGAAGGGTGTGGAGAAACGAATCCTCGCACTACTGATGGCAATTTAAAATGGTGTCAGCCAGCTTAAAAAACAGTCCGGTAGTTGCTCAAACCATTACCCTATACCAGCCGTGGGCAAACTACGGCCCTCGGGCTGGATCCGGCCCGTTTGAAATGAATAAAACTAAAAAAAAGACCGTACCCTTTTATGTAATGATGTTTACTTTGAATTTATATTAGTTCACACAAACACTCCATCCATGCTTTTGTTCCGGCGCTCTGGTCCAGTTTAAGAACCCATTGTGGCCCTCGAGTCAAAAAGTTTGCCCACCCCTGCATACCTTATGTATGACTCAGCAATTCTAACACCTGAAACAAAAATATGTGAATGTTTAGCATAATAGTGAAAAGGTGGGAACAACTCAAATGTCCATGAACTGATAAATGGGTAAGCAAATTACTGGTACATATCCAAACAATGGAATATTAGCCATAAAAAGGGATGAAATGGTGATATATGCTACAACATAGATGAATCCAGTCACAAAAGATCACATAGATGACTCTACTTATAAAATGGTCAAAATGGGAAAATCTATAGTAGATTAATGGTTGTTTATGATGGGATCAGAGTTGAGGAAGGGGAGTATAATGGAGAATAGGGGTGTGATTGCTGAAGGATACAGGTTCTTTCTGAGGTAATGAAAATAAAATTAGTGGTGACATATACATATCTGAATATACTAAAAACATATATTTTGGATAAATTGTATGTTATGTGAATTTCATTTTTTTTAAAAAGATCTTGGGACTTGTATAATTACGAGGCCAGAACAGAAGTCAGATCATGGAAACCCTCTAGGCCATGTTAGGATTCTGATTTTTATCTGAAGAGCTCTTCATTGTTCTCATTAACCACTTGAACAAGATGTATTGAAATCAACTAATTAAAATTGCCTCCTAATTTGTCTTATTCCTTTCTCACTGTGATCTATTTTCAGCACAGCCAGTTATCTAATGCTTGCTGGCTCAGGACAACTAAGGATGTTGACAGGGCTCAGCCAGTCAGATGGAGGCTGGAGCTAGAGACTTTCAGAAGACTGTTGAGGTGGATGACTATTGTCTAAGATGGTTGTTTTGCTCATATATCTGATGCCTCAACTGAGATGGTTCGAACATTGTATTGTTTCCATAAAATGATTAGATATGTCTCAGTTCCTAAAAGGAAAAGCGACCAGTGACGCTTTGAGACCAGTGACAAAGAAGGACTTTGGAGAATGACTCGGCCTGTGGTAAGGAGAGGGAGAAGACACCTAAATGACAAATGCTGGAGTAGTAATCTCAACAGATTGGAAAGCAGCCTTGCCTTGAAAAAGAGAACAGGGGAAGCAAGTGTGTGTCTAAGAAAAGGGTTTTGGACTGAGCAGTAGAAAAAACTTTGCCCTTGACAGTAATAGACCTAAGGAGGAATAATTTTTGTATTTAGTAATTTATTGATATTTTATTTTGTGCTTAAGGGAGACTGGCTCTCAATTTACCTATTAGCTTGGAACCAGGGATTTCTTTTCATCAAATATTAAGATAAAAGAAAAAAATATGTGCATGAACTTAACAGAGCAGTTCTGGTATCACAAGGACTGCTATGTAGTGTTCAGTATTTTCCATTGCTTTGGACTTGAGGAGTCATTTTATATACAGACTAGAGGCCCGGTGCACAAAAATTTGTGCACTGGGCGGGGGGGGGGGGAATCCCTCAGCCCGCCTTTTGCCCTCTCGCAGTCTGAGACCCCTCAGAGGATGACCACCTGCTGGCTTAGGCCCGCTCCCCAGGGGATTGGGCCTAAGCTGGCAATCAGACATCCATCTGGCAGCCGTGGAGCCCTTGGGGTATGTCCACTTGCCAGCGGGGAGCAGGCCTAAGCTGCAGTCTGATATCCTTAGTGCTGCTGAGGAGGTGGGAGAGGCTCCCACCACCACCACTGTACTGGCAGCCATCAGCCTGGCTTGTGGCTGAGCAGAGCTCCCCCTGTGGGAGTGCACTGACCAACAGGGGGCAGCTCCTGCACTGAGAGTATGACCCCTAGTGGATAGTGTGTGTCATAGTGACCAGTCATTCCCAGTCGTTATGCTGTTAGGGTCAATTTGCATATTACCCTTTTATTATATAGGATAGAGGCCTGGTGCACGGGTGGGGGCCGGCTGGTTTGCCCTGAAGGGTGTCCTGGATCAGGGTGGAGGTCCCGCTAGGGTGCCTGGCCAGCCTGGGTGAGGGGCTGATGGCTGTTTGCAGGCTGGTCAAGCCCCCCCCAGTAGGGACCCTCACCCCATGGAGGTTTGGCCAGCCTGGGTGAGGGGCTGATGACTGTTTGCAGGCTGGCCACACCCATTTTAGGGTGGAGGGGTCCCCACTGGGGTGCCTGGCCAGTCTGGGTGAGGGGCTGAGGGCCATTTTCAGGCTGGCCAAG